TCGCGCTTGAGCATCGTGGCCATCTCGGCCATACCTGCAGCGTCATCCTCCGTATCGTCGTCACCTTGGAGGGTCGCATGTACCTCCGATGCCATGTTCGTTGGGCACGACGTCGTAGACGTCATTGACGGTCAGGACGGACAAGGTCGCGCTGGAGCTCATGACGCGGTGCAGGTGACTTCCGGTCGCGACTCTCTTGTTCCGACTTGGCAGAACCCGTCGCATCTTATCGTGCCCAGCGTTTCAGCGCGATGCCATTGGCCAAAACTCTGCCTTGCACCAAGGCCATTGGCTGATTTTCGTTTTTCGATTGAATAAAATTATGCTGCAAGATATATACTCGGGGTGTGAATTTAATACGCCGTACCGCGGGCGGCCGACATTAAGTGTTCGTGGTCCACGAGGAAAGAAGCGGTCAAGATGCAACGCGTTGTGAGCTCCGTGCGCCGATTCGCCAGCCATGCGGCGCCGCACCACCAGGCGGAGAGCGCCATGATCACCAACAACGTATGCCGCATGGGCGAGAGCGACGCATCTGACCTACTGCGCTAGGGTACCCACGTCTTCGTGCGCAAGGGCTACGAGCGCTCGACGTGGGCGGGCATCCTCGGCGGCCCGATCTTGCTCTGGATCGGTTTGAGCAACGCGCCGGACACGGACTTTGAGGACTGGGGCCGCCGCGAGGCCATCAAGCGCCTCAAGGCCGACGACAAGGTGCTCGTTGCCCGGCAAAACACGGTCGGCGGGCCCTTTGTGTACGTCAAGGTACGCTGCCTCGCTTCATGCGGCCACGACGACTCATGATTGCCATGTAGAATGAGATTGGTGAGCGCCCGGCGTTGGAGGAATAGAGCACTAGCGCGTCGACGCTCCGCAACACCGTGAATATAGGTGGGTTCTGTTGCCTTCATGTTCAACTTCTGCGTCATCACATAATGTCGAGTTACTACGCATGTCTACTTGGCGGCCATGAAGGCCTCGAGCTCTTCCATGGTACCCAGCGACCTAGATCAGCATGACGAGTAAGACTGCGCGGACGAATATCTCGATACTTACATGCAACTCGCGTCCTTGGAGTGTTGGGAGATGAGACCCGTGAGCACGCCGCCGTAGCCAAGCTCGAGGAACTGCGACGCGTTGTGGTGCAGACAAAAGTCGATGCTTTGGCTCCACTTGACGGGGGCAACGACCTGCCAGCTCAGGCGCGCGCGCATGTCCTCGACCGCCAACGTATCGGCCGTGACGTTGCAGATGACGGGGATCGACGGCTCACGGAACTTGATTTTCTCGAGGGCGCGCGCCAGCATATCGGCCGCCGGTTGCATGAGCGCGCAATGAAACGGCGCGCTCACGTCCAGGAGCACTGCGCGGCGCACCTTGAACTCCTTGGCCATCTTGATCGCAGCATCGACGGCCACGGCGTTGCCGCTAATGACGACCTACATGCGCGATATGACGATGATGTACACACATGTCGCTCGATCCACCTGCTTGCACGAGTTGTAGTTGGCGACCTGGCAGACAAGACCGGTCTCTCTCTGGGCGCGGGCGCAGATCGCGTCGGCCGTCTCGGCGGTCGCAGGCAGGAGGGCAGCCATCGCACCTGGATCCGATGCACCCTCCATTGCCTGCATCATGGCCTTGCCGCGGTAGTGCTAGTCGCTATGAGCAACAAATCCACGAGAACGATGCAAGGACATACCACGAGCTTGACGGCGTCGGCGAAGCGCATGGCGTCCGTGGCCACGAGCGCCGAGAACTGGCCAAGCGAATGGCCGAGCGCGTACTCGCAGTCGGCGACCGAGAAGTCCATTTCGTGCTACAGCGCTATGAGCGTCAAGATAGCATGCGCGCAGAGGCATCTACCTTGAGCACTTGCAGTACTGCGTACGAGTGCGTCAGGATCGCAGGCTGGGCGATGGACGTGTGGGTGAGCTCGGCTTGCGGTCCCTCGGTCATGAGGCGCGTCAGGTGGGTACCCATGGCAGCCTCAGCCTCCTCAAGGACCGGCTCCACGTGCTGCGGCCAGCGCGCGAGAAGGTCCTTGACCATCCCGACCTTCTGGCTTCCCTGCCCCGTGAACGCAAGACAGCGCCGAGCCATGTTCACAAATGAGCCTTCCAAGACCGGTGGTAAATGACAATTGCATTTATTTAGCTTTCGGTTTGTATTCAAGCAGAACCTATACAAACGTCAAGCATAAAATATGCAAAAAGAGGGCTCATATGGAATCCATTTTTGACGCATCAAGATCGTCCAGAGGTGACAAGGAACGGTGACGATGGCGCAGAGTCGACAGGAAGCTCAACACACCGCTGTAGCAAGGGCATCCATTGGCTCTAAATTTTGCTATTTTGAGTGCAATTGAATCCGTCCCCGGCGTACAGTCCATACATCGATGACTTGACCAGTGCGTTAGGTCCAACGAGCTGCTGGCTCCTCCTTGCGACAGCTGCATTTCCCCACGTTTCGGCCTCCTCGTGGGGATCTCGGTCACGCTGCCTCCGCTTGCATCCCGTGGCTGCACTTACACGGCAGTCTCCGATTCCGGTTATCCGAAGAGTCAACCTATCCGGATGGCGTATGGTCTTCGCAGTTTACAAGCCAGCAGCCAGCAGCCGCGATGGCCCGGACGAAGCAGGATGCGCGCAAGTCGACGGGCGGGAAGGCGCCTCGGAAGCAGCTTGCCGTCGACCAGATCAAGAGAATGTCGTCGTCCGGCGGCGTCAAGAAGCCGCACCGCTTCCGCCCGGGCACGGTCGCGCTGCGCGAGATCCGCAAGTACCAGAAGAGCACGGAGCTGCTCATTCGCCGGCTGCCGTTCCAGCGCCTCGTGCGCGAAATCTCCCAGGACTACAAGACGGACCTGCGCTTCCAGTCAACAGCAATGCTCGCGCTTCAGGAAGCCTGCGAAGCCTACCTTGTCGGGCTCTTCGAAGACACCAACCTGTGCGCCATCCACGCCAAGCGCGTCACCATCATGCCCAAAGACATCCAGCTCGCACGACGGATCCGCGGCGAGCGAGCGTAAGCAGCAGCACGTACTAGTAAACCGCAATGAAATATATGCAGCATTCTCTTCCGCTTGCATGGCTCCAAGATGAAAGCCGACTCTGCCGCCACGCCCGAGGACACGTCGCATGTCAGGGCAGCTCGTACCGCACGAGTCGAATGGCCCATTCATGCACATCGGGTCTACGAGGGTGCTGAACGTAGTCTCCTTTGTCAACCTGCGCAGGCAGGTAATGGATGCCAGTACTACGCCCCGCCGCAGTCGCCGCCATCGCCACTGAATGGCGCTCGGCTTCTACGTCGTCGCTTGCTACCAAGAGCCAAGTGGCTGCAATCAGGTCCAAGACGCCAGCAGCGACGTGTACGTGTGCGTCCAGCGGTCGCATTGCGGCTGATATCCTTGCGTTCGGCCCGTTGTGAGATGTCAAATCCGGCCTCCGTCGTTCGATTACACATCGTTCTTCAGCGCCATGATACCGGCGGGATCTCATGTTCGATGCCTCCGTCATGCGGCGCCATTGACTGCGCCTTCTTCGCCGCATGCTAGCCCATCCTGTGCCGATCTTCACTCTCGTCCTACTAGTAGTTGCATGCACAGGTTGTCGTCCACGCGCGGCGCCGTCGGCCAGCGACACCAGCGACGCTTGCTTGTCAAGAGTGGTCGGGCCACTCTTGCCATCTGTCTTGTGCATACGTCCGTCGCTGGAGGCACGGAGCAATCGCTGGAGCGGCAGCGGCAGGCACACGAAGCGGTCGCTGGAGCAGGCATCGATCGCCTCCATGAAGCGCGGTCGCGCGCCGCCTTCGGGGCGGTCGCCCATGGTTCCCTTGGTGCGATATGTCCTGTGTGACTTGACATTTGTATGCACTGGAAACGCCTTTACTGTGGAAAGCCATCTGTAACAGGTGCTGGCTCGCGCCCGCCACTTTGAGATGCGCCTTTGGTCGATGGACATGGTACGCAGGCCGAGACCGCAGAGCCTCTCACGCACAAGCATGTAGGACGACGCAGCGCTGGTCGCGTCGTTGCGAGACGCCCCCGACTTTGACGCGACCATGGCGCTACTGACGGTCCGAGCACTCGCACCATCGATAGTGTGATCGTACTGACGCGAGATGGAGTAGCCGTCGGCCGACGTCAAGCAGCTCCTACCGTCGCTTGGCGTGCTCCTCGGCGAGTCGCTGCATCCGTTCTTATGCACCGTTGTGGCCAAGGAAGTCCAACAGGCCGCCGAGACACCAAGCATCGAGCTCTTCCGCGCCAACTCGCCTGGCATGCGCGTATGATACACAGAGCGTCGGACTGTTGGAACTGATGCTTGTCGCGGCGTAGCTGCTTAGCGAGTTCTCGTACCTCGTGGGCGACGCTTACTTTCGCAGCGTCCTCCTTGCGCCGCTCGAGACGCTCTATGACAGCAGCGAGAGCTACGAAGTCAACGAGACCGTGCCGCTGGACGCTCTCAGCGCCAACCAATCGCGGCTCGAAGCCACGGCCCAAGCGATTCTCGACAGGTAGCGCTTGCATGTATGTCCTGGCGATCTCACAGCGACGTCGTAGTCTCTTGGCCGCCGAGTGCCCGGCGCCGCTGGCCCGCGTCTGCCTCGCCTTTCGCCACTGCGTCGCAACAACGTTCCACACATACACGGACGCCGCGCTCGGTGGCTTCCTCTTCCTGCGCGTGCTCTGCCCCGCGGTGGTGGTGCCGGCAAAAGCGCATTTGTTTCCCGGTCGACCCATGCCGCCGATCGCCCGCCGCGCGACCGTGCTCGTCGCCAAGCTGCTGCAGAATCTCGTGCGTTCGACCCTCGTCCCGAGCCAATGTAACGTGGCGCGTAGGCCAACAACGTGCTCTTTGGCGCCAAAGAAGAGTACATGACGCCCTTCAACGGGTTCATTCGAAAAAACTACGCGGCCGTCGTCGCCCTCTACGACCGCATTTGCACGAGCGCGACGGCGTCCGAGCACGCTCCGTACACGCTGCCGACTGCCATGTCCTACGCCACTGCGCTCGAAGTACCCATTTCGCCTCCTACCTCTGCCAACGACCGTGCACCTAGGTCGTCAAGCGCGAGCGTGTCAAGTCCGCGCCTGTCAACAAGACGGAGCTGCTCCTGGCGCAGTCGACAGAGCCCACGGTGCTCATGTCGGCGCCGATTGACCGGTCGTCGCACACGAGCCACCGCCAGTCGAACGTGCGCGATCGCACGTCGCAGTTTACGCGGAGCTTCGGCACGTTCGTGCAGCGCAGCAGCAACTTTTTCATGACGTCGCGCGGCGAAGGCTCGTCGACGCGCGCCACCGAGACAGCGCGTCACCGACCACTACCGTGGCGCGACGTAAAAGCGCATATGGGCAGCCTCAACGCCACGGACGTGCGACCGCGACATAGCCAGTACATTGACGTACGTCTGTCACGATGACAGACCAACATCATCTCCATGTTTGGTAGTGGATCCAGCGCAGCATCGCGTACTTGGTCAAAGCGTCGGCGGAGAACGAAGACATGTTGTCGTGGCGGCCACTCAAGCAGAAGCACGGCGTACAGCTCTGGACGCGTGACGTCCACGCCATCACCGAAGTTCGGTACGCTCTCCCTCTTGCTCTTATCTGAGCTTATCTCGTTTCTTATTGTAGCGCGTCGGTGGTCGTTCGCAGCGGGAAGAAGGCATGCTTTAGCTACCTCTGCTCGTCCCGCGGCCGCAAGACGTGGGGCCAGGGCTGGAACTACGAACGGTACCATTGAACGGGCGTACATTCTCACAAACAACCTATGTAGCGAGGTTGAGCTCGTTGACCACACTACGCGCGTGCTGTACAAGTCGACGAACGGCAGCAGCCGGCTCTGGAGCTTCAGCGCGGACCAAGACATTGCGCTCCTCGAGAGTGCCGGCTACGACGCCGACCGACCCGCGACGCTCGTGTTCCAAAGCGTCTACCGCAGCGACGTGCCGCCCGTTCAAGGCTGCGCGCGCGTCGAACTGCGCGCAAGCGGCTTTGTGCTGCGCGCCGAAGGACCAACGGAAACGAGGCTCTCGGTCATTTACCGCTTTGACACGGGCCAGCAAGCGGGGTGGACCAAGCACGCGCTGGCGATCGCTCGCGTCAAACTCGACCTCGAGTCGTCCGTATAATTTAAGACACGTTCTCCACACCAATGATTTGACTCGTTCTTAAGCGTGCGGGAGGATCCCGTGCAGGTACTCGTAGCTCGCAAACGGCTCGCTGCAGAGAGATCGCGTGAGGCCCAGCGTCCACTCGGCCGTCGCGTGGAGCGCAAAGCTCCCGAGGTATACAAAGACGAGGCCGGCGCCGAGCCGCAAGAGCAACGGCCTACGCGCCACGTTAAAACGCAAAAAGGAGAAATGACGCACTCGAGAAGCGGCACGTAGGCGATCGACGCAAGGGAGTAGCCACCCGCGAGCAGCAATGTCCCCGGCGACACGAGCGCGGTGGCGGCGACCAGAAGCTTTCCGCCTACAGCTGACGATGAGAGCGTGGAGGCTTGAAAAACATACCGCCAAAGTAGGCGAGCATCGCCCTCGAGACGGCGTGCGTCATGCGAAACCCTTCCATTGATGACGTGGCTGTGCCGCTGCCGAGCTCGAAATGCACAAAAATGCGCTTGGACGACGACTGCAGAGGACGACGTATGAGACGGCGAGGTACACGAGCTATGGATCGCACCTGGTGAAAGACGCCGTGGTCGTGGATCGCCGTACTGTCGACGAGGCGGTTGTACAGCTCGACCTCGAGCAGCGCCATCCAGTGCGTCTACAGAGATGCGTGAGAGGCGCCAAGAAGCTTGGGAAGTGGCCGACTGTCTGGACGACGGGGGCGTCGGTGCAGAGGAGGAGCGAAACCAGGCCGAACGTGAGCACGAGCGCCGCACTGAGGATAGCGAGGAGCATATTGAGCACAAGGTACAATAGCACGCGGTACGAGGCGACTTGGAAGGGCAGGCCGATCCACGCCGTGGACGCAGCCGCACGGGGCTTTGGCGCGGCGACCGACCCGTACATGTTCGTCTAAATTTATTTCTGCATCCTCCTCGCTCCTCATTGGCGCGTCATTGGTGCCCTGTCTACCACCGTCCACGCGCGTCCACGTTGAGCCTCGCGCGTCCACGTTGAGCGCTGAGCGGCGCAGGTTTTCGTACGCCGTTGTGCGATGTACGGTATCTTGGAGCTGGACAAACCCTTCCCGAGAGACGAGGCAGCGCGCACAAGGCGACGAAGATCCAGCGCAGGTGGTGTCGACGGCGTCCCTGTTAAGTGCGCACTGCAATGTGGCATTCGGAAGGTCCATTTGCCGAAATTAGATGACTTCAGAGATGGCATGTGCCACATATAAACACAATCGCGTTCAGAGGAGCTTCTCGGGCGTGATCTCAAACGTGGCCAGCATGTCGTGGGCCAAGTAGGGCGAGAAGAGCACCTTGAGCGAGCGTATATTGGCGTGGCGCGTCTTGGCAATTTGGAACCTACGCCCACGACGTCAAGATGCGAAGCCGTCGACCCCGTACCGTTGGTTGACGCAGGATGACCATGCGAGTCCAAGCGCGGGCACGGCAGCGTCGCGGTCGTCGGCCTTCATGTTGGCCGTCATCTGATTGATGACGACAAACGCGACGTTGAACTGCGCGGCAAGGATGCGCATGCAGTTGACCATCTCGAACATGACGCGCGTGCGGTCACCAGCCTCGGACGCCGACTCGACCGAGACGCCGCGGAAGACGGCAGTGATCGCGTCAATGACGACGAGACGTACATTGCGCTGGTCCAAAAGTGGTGGCAGCCGCGTCTTCTACGCATGAAATGGCTCAGACGCGCTTGCGAGGTGGCAACTACCAGTGCGTGGAGGAGCTGCGGGGCGTCTGTTGCAGCCTCAAGAAAGATGTGGTCCAGCGACACAGGCTGATCAGAGGCGCTCGCGAGCTGGTCGAGCCGTTTGAGAGGCGAGAGTCCGTCCGAGTACATGTAGCAGCTGCTGGCTTCGAGGCCGCCGGATTCGCGGGGCAGCTGGGCGCGCAGAAGAAGCTGCAGGCAGAGCTGCGTCTTGCCGCTGCCAGCGACGCCGCAAATCTCGGTCACGAGCCCGGTCGGGAACCCGCCCTCAAGCAGTCGATCGACAGCCTCGCAGCCCGTCGCGATCGTTGCCGGCTCCTGGATCGCAAGCGCTTGCATTCAAGTGGCGTCTGATTGGTCGGATAAATTTGAATTTCAGCGAATCACAACGCTTCCCTTCGGTTTCATTCTCCCGTACGACACCTGGGGGCGCGACCGACATGTCGGCGCGAAGAGAAAGCGAGTAGCTCGCCGAGTCTCACACGCTCCGCAACGTCTGCGCGCGGAAGCCGTTGCGTGCTGGCTTCCAGCGTCCATGGATTTCAGCCAATCACTGGACGCAGTACATGCACCAGCCAATGGCACGCTGCCATGTTGCACGAGTTTGACCCAATCGCCTTCTCGATGGGATCGGGGCATGGTCGGCGTCGGGCACGTGATTGGCTACTTATCCGGATGCAAGATGTGATTGGCTTGGATCGAGAGAACGCGTTCCGGGTTCGAAAGATTTTGTTCGAAAATCCATGCTTTTGATGATCGGTAAGAAGCCAATTTCGCCACGAGCCCGCAAGCAGCATGAACCTCCGGTCGGGCATGAGCGTGCAGGACCTCAAGATGATGACGGCCCAGCGCGAGTACCGCATCATGATGGAGCAGCTCTCGTCGTCCTCGTCGTCCTCGTCAGCGTCGTCGCCGAGCTCCAAGCACAGCGGGTCCTTCTCGAGCGGCGTGCACGTGTCGTCGCCGCGCTCGACGCACAGCTTTAGCCTGTCGGAAGGAAGCAGCGAGCCGAGCCCGGTGGCCAGCCCCGTACTGGCGCCGCAGCGACCACCGTCTCCGCCGCCGATGCAATTGCCGCACCACTACTACGCGCCCTCATCGTACGGCTACAAGAGCGCCGAGCAGCGCATGCTCGTGACCTGCGGCGGCCAAGTGGTGTCGCTCATGGAGGGCGTCCGGAACGTTCCGCAAGAGTGCTGCATCAGCCTCTAAGATGTCGTGTACAAAAACTCTGTCTGGGTGTCCTTTTGTAATATAGCGTGATCTTTATTCTCGTCCAAGCACGGCTTCGAGGCTCGCTAGCACCTCTTTTTCCGTGAAATACTCGGTCGTTTGGTCCGTTTTGCCCGATATCCGAGCCACGTCCGGCAAGAGTAGCAGTGGCAGCGCATCGCGGCGCGCGTCGTTGCTGCGTGGCGCCAATGGCTGAGCCGGCAGCGACCGGATCGGCGGAGCGCCTGGCCACGGGGTAATGATGCCGCCGCACTGCTCAGTCGCCTCGTACAACTAGTGCGTGGCTATCAGATCTCGTCTTTCTCGAATGGCTGCTGTACCTGGTTCATCAAGTGCCAGAAGCGCTTCCACACCATTTGCACAGTGTGCTCGCCGGGACTGCCGCGCATCACTTGGAAGCCGGCGTAGCCTTCGACAAGGCACTTGAGGCAGCCGCAGCCCGCGCCTTGGCAACTGCGCAATGCGTGGGTCTTCGGGCAGTCGCGCGCCAGCGCCTCCAGCGTTCCCACAAAGAACGGGCGCAGCGACGGCCAGACCTAGAGCCATTGAAAACATAAGATCTTTCGACACAGCACTACCATGTTGAGGTCGGCGAGCGAGTTGACGGTCGCGCCGAGGTCGTCGTCGGCCATCCACGCTTTTTCGTCCAAGCCGTTTTCTTTGGCGACGCTCAGGAACGTCTCGGCGTCGATCGAGTCGCTGCCGGTGCGCCGGAGGGTCTCGCTAAAGAGGAGGAGGACATCGGCGTCGTCGAGGCGCTTGTCGATCGAGAGCACAATCCGCTGGAACTCGGCAAAGCTCAAAACACCGTCGCCGTTGTTGTCGCCAGCGCGGAAGGCGTCGCGCAAGTGCGCTTCGCGGCGGCTTTGCTCGTCGCGCCACTCGGCCACGACAAGGTCCAAAAACACATCGGCGGCCACGACTTCGTCGCCGACGTCGGCGCGCGGGCTCTTGCCACGCAGCAGCTTCTCGAGAAAGGCCGCGATCGCCGCCGGCCGCATGGACGCGAGGCAGTGCGTTGCCGCGTCCATCGCACGCTCCAGCGGAATGTCCCAGTCGGCGCGGTCGGGCACCGGAAGCCGCGACACGCGGCCCTTCTTGGGCGCGTCGTCGTCGACGTCCATCTCGAGCAGCGTCTCGAGGCAGTTGAGGTAGTGGCGTAGCTCCGCGGCCGGCACTTCGTGGTACACAAACTTGCAAAAGGCGTCGACACGGAGGCAGTCGCTACGATACTGGTCGAGCGCGACGCCGAGCGCGATGAGGTGCATGTCGGCGATCGACGGGAGGCCGTAGGCGTGCAGGAGCGTCTGGTAGCAGATGCGCGCGAGCGAGTTGGCCTTGAGCGGCTTCGTCTCGCGCTTCCGGCGATAGAGCTTCTCGGCGTAGACGTCCGAAATAAGTTTGAGGACGACGCCGAGCGGCTTCTTGCAGTACTGCGCGAGCTGGTCCGAGTTGATCTTCCACGACGTGACGAGCGACGCGAACGCGTTGGGCACGACGCTTCTGTCGAGCTTCTTCTTGTTTTTGGATTTCTTGAGGAGCGCAATCACCGTCAGCGGCGCCTTGCGCACTTGAACCGGCTCGTCGTCGTCGTCACCACCCCCATTGCCACTTGCCTAACACCGTATGATGAGGAGGATGATGGAGTGCAGCCTGAGACACCGTCGCGGGAAGCGCGGCGCCGTCGTCGTCGGTCTGGCACGCGACGCTCGCCGTGCCCTCGGGCAACGATCGCAGCGCGCGTTCGTGGAGCGTGCTGTCGCTAAAGCGCCGGAGACCGCGCGACGTCGAGGGCGTCGACGACACCCGTCGGTCTGAAATTTCGCGCAGTGCGAGCAGCTTGTGGCGCGCATTTGGCGCCTACGATACTCAATTGAGCGTCACTAACTCAAGTACGAGCGACCGTCGACTCGGTCGGTGGCATGGCGCCGAACGCGCCCTCGACAATATCGTCGAGCAACTCTGCTCGGCCCGTCGCGTTGTACGTGGCGACGACGTTGCTGACTACGGCTTCGAACGTCGACGTGGACGCGCGCCGCATCGCCCGTTGCAGCAGCTGCGCCACGTCTTCGGCGCTGAGACCGGACACGAGTTGCATCTCGAGCGATCGCGGGCCGTTCGGCGCGACCTCGGGCATGGACGCGGCGAGCGACTGCAAAATGGTGGCCCGCGCCTCGGGCTCCAGTTGACGCAAGACCTCGAGCGTCGTCGCAACAGTTTGTCCGACCTCGACCAAGTGCGGCGGCGTATGGGGCGCCGACGTCGAACTAGTCGGTGCTGCTTCGATTGGCGGGGCAGTCGGAGCTACGGCGGGAACGACGGCGGCCTGGACAGTGGCAGAGGACAGGACGGCGGCGGGCGCGGCAGGGTGGACGGACGGGCGAGGGGCTGCGGGGTTGCCGCCTGCGCTGACGGCGAGGCCAAAGAGCTCGCGCACGTAGCGCTGGATGGACTTGACGGGCTTGGCCGTCTCGAGGTCGACGCCGTGAGCCTCGAGGTCCTTGGCAATGGCCTCCATGGTCGCGAAGAGCACGTTGAGTCGCATTTCGTTGGTCATTCCCGCCACGTGTTTCTTGAACGGCTCAAGGAGAAAGAGGCTATGGGCGTCCAGCGCGAGACGGTCCGCGAGCGAGAGCGACCCGAGGTAGTCGGCGACAATCGTCTTGGCGCCGTCGCCCTTAAGGAGCGTCTTGAGAAGCCGCAGCTTCCCGTCGCGCGACACGATCGAGGAGTAGACGGCGTCAATGACAAAGTGCTCAAGATTGATGTGCTCGGAGGTTGTCCACGTCTGGAGCAGCTTGCACACGTCGTGGAAGAGCGCCTTTTGCTCCTACACTACACACTTCAACACCCGTGGGCGATGAAAAGAAGCGCATCACCAGCGGCGCAAACGGCGTCGGGGACGCTGCCAACGCCGTCAGCGCCTCGTGCAGGCGGCGCGGCGTGAGCATGGTCGCGGACACGGGGCGCGGAGTCGTCGCCTCGGCGAGCTGGCGGCGCTGGTCCGGCGAGAGCGCCGACATGAGGTCGTTGAGGAAGTCGTATTCGTGGCGAGCACCGAGGGCGACCTCCAAGAAGCCGGCGCGGCAGCCGGGCGAGCTGCAAAAGTACATGTGCACGAGACACATGGGGTCGGCCACAAACACGAGCGAGTCGCGGATCCGCGCGAGCTGCGCCTCGTCGCGCCCGAGGATGTTGGCGAGGACGAGCGCTTCGCCTTCCGGCCTACTCCATAGTTTGGTGACCTGACGGTACGATCTACTACGGTGCACCCGAGGGTGTTGAGAATGGCCTCTGTGCGCTCGACAAGACTGAGCTCATCGAGGAGACCCGCCACGACGATGCCCTTCGTGTCGGTGTCGAGCACCTTGGCGAGCGCTAGGATCTGGCGGCAAATCTGCGACGGCGTCGACGACGACGCGTCCGAAGGCTCGTGGCGGGATTGGCCAGCGAGCTTGCGCCCGAGAGCTTTGCGGATGTCGTCGGGGAACCGTTGCAAGCCGCGTTCAATAAGGTCTGCCGAGCACACTTCGAGCACGCGGACTTTGTCAGCGTCCGTGAGGTTCTACGCGTTCTATCCAGCGACAGAGCACGATGACCAAGAGTACGTACGCGCACAGTGGTGCGTCGGGGCAGCCCGAGGTGCGACGTCAGCGCCTGATCGTGCTCGAGCTCTCGGAGCTGCACGAAGAAGGGCTTGCGCTGGTAGAAGGACCGCACAACGTCGCCGATCGCGCTGGGCGCTGCCTCGGACGCTTGGGCCATGTGAAAGTGCAGCCCGTCCATCTTGGCGCCAAAGTGCGACGAGCCGTAGATGCTGTACTCTATGCAGCGACGACTAAGAAATTATAAGACACAGGTATGCGGTCGCACCGAGACCGATCACAATCTTCTGCAAAAGCGACTTGTAGCTGCCGAGGATGCCTGGCATTTTGTACAGGGCCGCAAAGCAAGCGGCTGTCTCAATGACATTCGGCCGACCGGCCTCGGCCGTGAAGTTTGTGAGCTGGTCGAGCTTGTACTCGGTGAAGAGCGCAAACGACGTAAACTGGCCTTTCTCCGCCTCGTACGTCTGGAGCCAGTGCTCGACCTCGGCGTCGGCGCAGAGATATCGCTGCGCCTGCAGAATCTCGCGACCTGGCGCGTTCGCAGACGGTAGCAGCGTCGACTTGAACGAGACAGGCGACGGCTCGGTCGTCATGGGCCGGGTGTCGACGATGGGCTTGCATGGCGACGGCTCTTCTGCCAGGTGGCCGCCGAGCAGTACGTGATCGATCTGCAGCTTGATGCTCGAGAGGCGCTGGTCCAGCCGGTCCGCCTCCAAACTCGTTTGGATGATGGGGTGCACGGCGCCGCCCGCCAGCGGCTTTCTACGCAAGACGCCATGAGGCGAGCGAGCCGACGAGTGCTAGGCGTACAGGTCGGTGCGCTTGCGTCTGTATTTGTTTGGCTGCGTCGCCTCCAAGATGGGGTTGACCTTGAACGGCTCCATGCCCCTAGCTCAATGCATGGGCGACGATCATAATCCTGCACGCTGTCGCACCCCGTCCGCTCTTGGTTGTTGTCGCGTCGCAGCGTGTCGGCTACAGCGAGCCCATGAGCGTTTTGTGCAACACGTGCGGAATCCTACGCGCCGGCTTGGCCACCGCCCGCGGCGACGTGCTGTTGGACGCGGTTGTTGTGCGTCGGAGTCCCGGCGCGCGGGGCTTCTTGGGCGAGGGCTGCTGGCGCCCGTGCATTTTGACTCCGCCGTTTCTGGGAATCCCAACTGCAGCGAAACGCATGCCAACCTTGAAGACTTGATCTCGTCAAGAGAACGGAAGCTCTCGGGAAGAGCGCGACCGTGTTCAGGCGCTGCCGTTAACATCACTTTGGCGCCCGTTCCATGCTCTTCATGTCCTTTGGTTGCCAACGAAGTTCATTTCGACTACGATATTTCTGTTGTCGACTAAAGATGGACTACGCGTCGACTAAAATTGAGTTGACCACCGTGGCCTTTCCCGCATCGCCCGTTTCTTTGCACTGATTGGCCAAAAAGCGGACTCCGAACGACAGGATTGGTCGATTTAAAGCTTGACGGCCCATGTTGTATTTAAATTTCGGGCTCGGGCGATGGAGGACGTCGACGACGAGGCCATCAGCATCGAGCTCCTCCGCGAGGACAACCTCATGCTCGAGGAGCGCATCGAGGCCATGAGCAAGAAGTGCAGTGCCATGCAGCAGGCCAAGCTGGAGGCTGAGGCGCGCGCTGCAGCGCTCGATGCGGACCTCGCCGCCCTCCGCAAGGTTGCTGCTGGCCAAGAACAAGTCGACCCCAACAGCGCTGCCGACTGGCACGACGAGCGTGCCAAACTTCTCGAAGAGGTTCAAACGCTACTCAAGGTGAAGGAGCTCAACGAGAAGCGCGTCGGCGATCTCTCCAAGGACCTGCAACGCCTCTACAAGCGGCTCAAGACGGCCGAGCCAACGACCGGCGACTCGGAATACGTCGAGCCGTTGTTGCAGGACCAAGAGACGTGGCAGAAGCAGCAGCAGCTCGTGCAGGACCTCCTGCGCCAGTGCAAAGAGAAGGTGTACGCCGAGAAGCACGCGCACAAGCGGCGACGCGTGGACCCCGACACCTCGGAGCACGACAAAAGCCTCCAGGAGGTCATTGCGCACTTCAGAACCGAGGCGAGCGAGCGCAACGAGTTTGAGAAGCTCGAGGCGCAACTGCTGCAGGAGCGGCTGAGCGAACTGGAGGCGCAGGGTGGTGAGCCGAGGTCGGAGCCCGTGTCGACGGTCGACGTATCCGACCTGGAGACCCAAATCGCTTCGCTCAACGAAGAGAACAAGAAGGGCAGGCTCTTTGTCTCGGCGCTCCAAGACGACCTGAAGCGGCTCGCGCACGAAAAGCTGCAGCTCGCCAAAGACATGCAGGAGGCGCAGCGGCGCATCCAGGCGCTCACGATGGACAACCTCCAGTTCAAGCTCGAGAAGAACGAACTCAAGCACCAAGTCCAGAGCGAAGTGACGAAAAACGCAGCACTGCAAGACCAAGTCGACGACGTCACGCGGCAACTTGCAGAGGCCACCGCGGAGGCAAGCCAGCTCCAAGACCACCTCGTGGCGGCGCAAACGCAGCTACTCGCTGCGGAGGCCGAGGTCGCAGACTTGCACAAACGACTCCAGGAAGCCACTGCATCCACGAGCACAGCTGCCGCGGCGCGCTACGACCTCGAGACGACGCTCGAAGCGGCAGAGAAAGCGCGCGACGAGCTCGCCGAGGCCAAGGGCTTTTGGGAAGACAAAGCTGCCAAGCTGGAGCGGGTCGTACTCCAGTATGGATCTGAGATCCAGTCGCTCAAGTTGTCGCTGGCCGACGCCGAGGCCGCGGGGCCACCCGAGCACACCCCGGCGTCCGTCGCGCACGGCCAGTCCATGGTGCAGCAGTTCTATTTGCGCTACTACAAGGCGGCTGAGACGTCGCACCGGTCGCTCCTCGACGCCACGCGGGCCAAAGATGCAGCGCTCGCAGCACAAGGTGCCGACCTCACGCACATTCGCCACGTACTCTCGTCCATCGTGCACGCTTCGTTGCCAGACGACGTGTCGAGCACGCTCCAAGGGCTGCTTGCGGGCCTCGAGAGGCCAGAGTTACATACAGAGTCAATGTAGAACCGCATTATTAGTGTCGTAGTGCCTTTACAGCATCTTGTCGGTGGAGAGGATGATGGCGTCGAGAGACGAGGCCTTGAGCTCACCGTCCATGACGTTGACAGCGGTCGCAGCCCACGGCACGCGCAGCGCGAGGAGCGGCGTCGAGGGCCCGTCGGACTCGTGCACGTCGGCCAGCATCGGGAGCAGGTCGTGGAGGCCGTAGACGTTGATCCACGTTTTCGCAGCCGCAACACCGGACGTCCGCACAACGTCGAGGAGCTTGGCGCGCGCCAGCGCATCGATCTGCGCGGAAATGTCGAGGTGTTTTTCCGACTCGTCGGGAAAGAGCAGCTAATGTATTTGGCACGTGTCGACTACAACATAGGAAATACCTTGACTTCGTGCATGGCTCGAAAGTAGATGGCAAAAGCCTCGAGCGTCGGCGCGTCAAAGCACTGCGGAAACGCCGTACGCTGCAATTGGGGAAAGACAGTCTATCCACATTGACTTGAAGCATTGATACTTGCAAGAGAGAGTACGTCAGTCACAAAGGCCTTGGTGCCGAGGCGGCTGTAGTCGTCCGGATACCACGTCTTCATCGTGCTCGCCATGCGCAACGCCTTCATTGCATCGCCGCGCTCAAACTCGGTGGCGATCAGTTGGTGGAGCTACGCGTGACGCTGCGTTCGTCATCAATGGGCCAAGCACCGTACCTGGTTCCAGAAATGGACTTGGTGCGCCGCGTCCTCGGTCGTCATCGCATCTGAAAGCACCTCGCGGCCCTTTCCGGTGCACTGGAAACGCGTCGCCGTCTTGCTCAAGAGGCGCTCGAGGCGCGGGTAGAGCTGCGGCAGAAGCAGCATCGACTCTTCGCGGAGGAGACCGGTTGCGACCATGTCCATGATCAGTTGGTGCCACTGCGCACTCAGACGCACCTACCATTGACACATTGATACGAATCCCACGTACAACACAATGTCTACAAGCAGCGGTAGCGTCGGGAGCCCGTCTTTGGACAGAGCAAAGCGCACGAGTGCGTTGCGGGGGCCCGTGACAGCGACGGCGTCCAAGTGCGCCTCAATGAAGCGCGACTCGCTCAGTGGATCGTTCATCGCGTGCAGGTCGGCGGCACTTAGCAGCTTGAGAAGGACATCGGAGATGTACAGCGGTGAGACGCGCGCCAGCACCACGAGTACCTAAACAGTGTCGTGAGATCAACTTCATGATCGAAGTCGGACCGGGCACGCCTCCAACGACAACGAGAGCTGGTCCAAGCACAACTGCGACGAGACGTCGACGCTCTGGTAGATGGGCCTACACATCACCAGCTAAGACGGAGAGCATGCCAAGTCTTGTCAACTTGTGGATCCAGTAGAGAGATCGGACGAGCGTGATGCCGTGCGCCTTGATGAGGTCTTCGCGCGGGAGGAGGTGACGAAGGGCTTGCTGGCGCACAATGGCGTTGACGTCCTCCAAGCACAGCTGCGGCACGAGGTGGGCGAGCGCTGTTCGCGTCTGGACAGCGCAACATGTCAGCGCCGACTCAAACGCCGTCTATGCCAACGCAGTGAGTGTACGACAGCGTTTGCTTGATGTACCAGCGTTGTGTCGTCGAGCTTGATGTGCCCAAGCTTCTCGACCGCGTTGGTCATGGTACTGTCCATCGCCAGCGCCGTGGGCTGACCGACGCCCATTTGCACGACGCGGAGACCGCACTGGAAGAGGCGGAAGGCGTCGTCCGCCGTCTCGAGGCGCATCGACATGGCATGCAAAAGCTCCGAAAGCGACACGACGCGGTCGACAGCGATGCAGCCGCGCGCTTCGTTCTCCTTGAGCTCCGCCTACAATTCGTCCTAGCTTCAACCTCCTCATGAAAATGACAAGGTACGTCAATCGAGCCAAGGAGCTCGCGCATGGCATCGTGGTGCTGGCCAAGGAACGCGCCAAAATGAAGGCAGATATCGCGCCAGAAAGTGTCTGCGGGCTCCGTGCGCAGCCTATTGGCCATTACTAAATGCTCAAAACGAACGACGATACCGGGCGAGGATGACGCAGAAGGTCGACGCGACTTCCTTGCTCGTTTCGCCCGACATGATGGCGTTCTCGCACCCGAACGACGACGTCTCGAGGCCTGGGAAATGTTAGAATGTGAAGGGGTACGGTACGCACCGAGGCAGATCCAGAGGGCTTCGGCGAGCGCGCGGCTCGTTTTGAGGTTGCTCGCGACCGTCGGTAATAGCAGCATGGGCAGCCACTGGTACACTTGCAGGTGCCCGAGGAGAAAGTGGCGGTGCATCACGAGCGCAAGGAGCTCAGTGAAGCGCTCCGTCTCGTAGTACCCGTGCCGAATGGCCTGCGTGACGCTGAAAAAGACGTTCTTGCCCAAAGCGGCGCTCGGGACGCGGTCAATGTTGAGGTAGTAGAGCCGACACGCTTCGCGGATGAGGTTGACGACCTCTTGGTCGCGCTGGGACCCCGAGACGCCTTGGAGCGGCAACTTTGCGAGCTCCGATCTACGCGAAATGTAATAAAAACGGGCATCTCGAGAAAACATACCGCGCGTAGGGCAAGAGGAGGTTTGTCCACGCCGCCTCGGCGAAGGCGTGGCTGCTGCGCACGACGACGCACAGAAGCGAGTACTCGTCGGCGTCCAGCGCAAACTGGAGCAATTCGTCCGACGGACTTTCGAGCAAAACCAGCTCGACCGTCTGCAAGAAGACATCGGGGAGCATGCGTCGGCTGCCCTCCGTCGGCACCCTACCGCAGTGATTGGATGGCTAATCTCACGCCTCTCGTACCGCTGAAACGTGCTTAGCGCCGTGCCAAAGACGCGAACGATGGCTGTGACGTGTGCAGCAGCGTCCAGAGCATCGACGCGGCTCGTCTTCTGGTTGAGCAGCGCTTCGTACAGCGACTCCCTATACCCAATATCATAAAGAACCTGACGTATGCGCTCTACAGACATGAGCGCGAGGCAAAAGGCGACGCGGAGAGGCGTCTGGTCGACGTTACCGACGCGCATGCGCGTCACGAGCACGTCGAGCGCGCTTTTCTGCCCAAGGACGTCGAGGCGCCAGAGTGGCAGTAGCGCCGTCGCATCGCGCGCCACGCGGGCGAGCGTCGAAGCGACCGACCCGGGCTCGGCCAGTGGCGCCAGCACAAGAACAACGCTTAGCGCTGCGTCGCGAACACTCGCGTCGGTCGAGATGGACGCGAGGACGTGGACGAGGGCGGTGGTCTGGAGGCAAAGGCCGAGGTCGCCCGTGAATGCGTCGGCCCAGTCGACGTGTACGCTCAGGATTGCCCACGTGCGCACGAGCTCCTCGAGCGTCTCGAGCGCGTCGACGCGGACGTTGGGAGGCGACGTCTCCGAGAGCCCAATTGCTTCGAGAGCTGGCACGCCCACATCGATGAGCCACGCGCAGAGCACATTCCTCGCATCTTCCTCGGCGACGAGCGGGTCCAAGAGGGCTGTGAACTTGACCTTGGTGCGCAGAATCTCAAAGATCTTTTGCGCATGCCGGAAGAGCTCGCTAGAATGACGATGCTATCGACTGGCATTCATGCAAGCGTGCGTACCGGACGGCGTACATGTCGGTGGACGGGTCGCGGAGGCGGTCGGGCGAGTACGTCGTGAGGGCGATGGCGAGGGCGTGGCGCGTCTCGTGGAGCATCTGCGGCACGGCTGCTAGGGCTCAGTACCAGTGGCGACGAGAGGGCGCACGTACTGTCCGGGCCAAAGTTGGCCGCGTAGGCCTTGGCGAGGTCGTACCAATGGTCGAAGAGGAGCGCGGAGGCGTCCCTAGCGCAGGTCCTTAGCGACGTGTGGGCGAGACGACTGCTCGTACGACTGCTCGTACGCGGCCGTCGACTGCAGCTGCGCCTCGATGAGCGCAAACAACGTCATTTTCAAAATGGCGTTGGACACAAAAGATCATCTTGGGACAAACACGTATCTCCCATTTCCCACCACCATGCCTATACTAGATATTGGTATGTGTGTGTCGAAGTGGGAATTTCGCGTGGGATTTGGGAAAAACACAATGGGGCGCAGACCCGCGTTGGACAGGCATGCCGGCGTCGCACATGCAGGACATGAAGAGCGCTGGACAGGACGATGACGAAGCGATAAGCATGCGCCTCGAGACTTCTCGCCGCGAAAAGAAACGTTTCGCTGCTTACGACAAGAATACGTCACCCAACTTCAACTTGCGAGGATGAGCCTCCTCGTGCAGATCGTCGCGAGCCTCTCGTCCTTGTACTTGCTGCTGAGTCCGATCTCGCTCTTGCGCCAGATCTCGGCGGCCAAAACGACGGGCAGCCACGGCGTCGCGCCGCTGCTCTGGACGCACATCGCCTACGTCGTCTGGTATGCTACGCACCAGTCCACGCACATCATGTGGTGGTAGGCTGATCTACAGCCTCTGCGTCGGCGTCTTCTTCCCGTACATCTCGACCAACATGATCAGCGCGCCCGTGAGCGTCGTCTACCTGGTGATTTTTTACAAACACAGCCCCGAGAAGACACGGCTGCGTCCAGTGTATGGCGCAACCACCGTTTGCCTTGCCAGCCTCGCCACCTACGTCGCGCTATCGACCGAGCCGTGGGACGTCGTGACGCGCCACGTCGGCGTCGTCGCCATTGTGTGCGCGGCAGTGATGGTCGCCGCCCCGCTCTCGGTGCTCCGCGACGTCGTGCGCACGCAAAGCAGCGCGCTCTTGCCGCGCAAGATCATGCTTGCGACGCTCGTGAGTAACGGCGCGTGGATGCTCACGGGCCTCCTTCACGCCGACATGATCATCGTCATACCCAACGCGTTCAACCTCGGCCTCGGCCTGCTCCAAATGACGCTCTTCCTCTGGTACCCGTCGTCACCCGCCGACGCCGCCGCCACGGACGCGCTCCTGCATTTTGACGCCAAGGACATTGATGCCACTATGGACGTTGTGCATTAGAGAACACCAATATTGAGTTTGGCGAGCGCCAAGTCGTCGTCATCGTCGTCGTCTGTCGTCGTGTCGATGCCCTTGTAAGTCGGCGGCGTCCGGTAGTAGACGCAGAGGAAGACCTGGAAGAGGCCGAGGCCAAGGTTGAGGCCGTTGGGGCCATACACGAACGGGTCGCTGATCATGAGTCCAAACGTAAACCAGAGCGACGCGCAGAGCACGCCGGCGAGGATGAGGCGTAGCGGCAGCGCGGCCGCAGACTTTTTCTTGACGACCGTACCAACCGCCGCAAGCGGCGAGCCAAACATGAGCGTGCATACGGCGATCCCGAGGTAGCCAACATGGCCCGCAACGTCCCGGTTGTGGAGAACGTACGCGCCATACGCAGCGTAGACGATCGCGCCGACAACGACGGCGAGCGTCCCCACGATCTTCTGCGCAAGCACGCGCCGGTGCGGCCCGCCGTGTGTGTACATGATCGCAAGGTAGTACACGGCGAGCAGCGCATTGATGGCGTTGGTGACGACAAGCGGAAACCAGTTGGCCACCAGCACGCCGTAGAGCGTCCTACGCCGCACATCAGCTCTTCGTTCACGGCCCACAGGCGGCAGTACCAGATGCAGCCGTTGGCAAACATGCACAGGATGGGCAGACTTTCGATGGGCACCTTGGCGCGGACCTTCTCCATGTCCTTGAGCGGACTCATGGTCATGTAGATGGCCGAAGCCGACGCCAGCAGCTTCACGGTGGTCACGACTGCTGGGTGCGCGAGCATCGTCCAAAAATGGAGCCAGCTGACCGGCTGAATCTGACGTGCGCGAACCGGATCACATTCCAACCGGTAAGGTCGCAATCGGTTACGAATTAACCGGTTAATGAATCCAAATCAAAGCGCCCACGCATGCGTTGCCAATGCCTCGAACGCAGTCGTTCGAGGCTTCATGCGCTGTGAGATCTTCTTATGCCCAAGTACCGGTGGTATCTACAAGCAGCAGCAATAACATGTCCAAGAGGAAACGGATATTATCTGCCACCGCCTCCGAGCCCGAGTGCTGCTTTTTGAGCTTCCGCACTTTTCTCCTTCTCGAGAAGCTCCTGCTCAACCCGACGGCCCACATTGCCCTGGAAGACTATGGCGGCATGTCGCCGCTCGAGCACGCGCTGCGCTGCACTCCTGCGCAGCGAGGCCCACTACCGCGCGACGACACCCCACTATCCGTATGACGAGCACCTGCGCGCCGAGCTCAACATGGCCGACGCAGCGTTCGGCAAGCGGCTCTTCCGCCAGGCCCTCGGGAGCGACCCGGCTGCCGCGCTGCGGTACCTAAACCAGTTTGTCAATAGCGATGGCCGGTACAACCTCACATTCAAGGACCTCAACGCGATCTACGGCAAGTACCACATCAAGAGCTCGGTCTTGTACTCGGTGCTCAACGGCCGCATCCTCGCGTACGTGTCCCTGGCATCTCTGTGTGGCTCGGTCATTACAAAGACACGTGTCTTGCCGCCGTCAGTAGTGCGTGTCCACGTTGGCCCCAGCAGTCGGCCATGGAGAGCGAAGAAGAGGAAAGGGCTCGGCATGGCGATGGACTCGAGTGCAGCGCGCGACGGCCGGCGCGACCAGCCGCATGCAAGCTTCGCGCCGAGACACGAGTCGCGCGTCGACGCCCGAGATGTACGTAGAGTATGGCGGCAGTAACGAGCGCGCGACCTGCCGTAGGTCGAACGCGGCCGCACCGCTGGTCGTTCTGGACGCGCAAGCGCATGATGCCGTGGCGCTCACGATGCTAGATAACGTGGCGTCGCTCCCAGCGTCGTCGCAGGTCTTGGGAACTCGTACAAGCGCATCTCACGGAGGCGGTCGCGTGGCCGACGCGCGAGAGGCCGTCGAAAAATTTGGCCAGGGCTCCGCCCTAGGGCCGCATCGGTGGCTCGTCACGGATGCTGTAGCTGCGCCACGCCTACATCAACGTTGCATGAGCCCGCGGCCCGAGGCCTGCGCAC